AAATAAATATATTAATAATTATTATTAAATAAATATCAATATATATATATATATTCAATTTTTATTTTAATCATAAGTCTACACTGATTGGACGATTCGATTCTTCGCAGAGAGTCGTACAATTCGATTGATTTGCGATGAATCGAATCGTCCAATTGTAATACACTTAGGGCGCATAAACAAAATTTTCATTCGTGGATTATTTTTATTTTTCCTATTAAAGAAATATTAGTTTTACTAGCATGATTTTAGGAAACGAATTACGAAACAATGATACAAAATAATTGTAAACTGGACCAAAGCATTAATGCAAGATTCTTATTGGTGTGTCAACAGACCAATCCGCTGTCGCGTGATTTGTCGACTAGTGCGATGTACGATGACGTCACAACATGGTATCGACAAGTGTTAAATAGTTAAAAAAAAAGTGTTGAAAAGTGAAAGAGTTTCGTATAAAATTTATCGTCTACGTATAATTAATCATTAATTTATCGTCAATGCGTTAAATTATAGCATAATTGTTATACTTATTTACCTTTAGAATTTACGATTAATATTACAATATTGTTATTATTATAATTAAGATTTTTCTTATAGAAGAAAATCAAAATGGACGAGGTTACGAAGTTGGAACATTTGTCTTTGGTATCAAAGATTTGTACAGAATTAGAAAATCATTTAGGTTTAAACGATAAGGATTTAGCCGAATTTATAATTCATTTGTCAGAAGAAAACAATACTTTCGAAACATTTAAAAAAGTTTTGATCGAAAATGGTGCCGAATTTTCCGACTCCTTCATAGCAAATTTACTTAGGATAATACAACACATGAAACCGTCTACTCCTTCTAACAAATCTTCGTTAGTTAATTCATGTAAACAAGACGAATTAGCGCAAAAATTTCCTGTATTAGCTTTACCGAATGATGTACCTACTCAATCTGCTCAAGAAACCGAAAAAACTGATAAAGAAATAGTTAACGACGTGTTAGCATCATTAGAAGCATTAGCACCGTCTAACCTTAAAAATAACGAAAATGGAAGGAAGGATGATCACAAACGAAATAAGCGGAGTAGTAAAGACAAGGATTCGGAAAAGAGTAGGGAAAAGAAAAGACATAGATCTAGATCTAATGATCGAAAGGATAAAAGACGTAGATCTAGATCTAGAAATCGTTCTAGATCTAGAAATCGTTCTAGATCCAAGGAAAGAGAACATGGTAGAAGACGTAGAAGAAGATCAAGATCCTCGAGCAGGACGTCAAGATCGCATGGTTATAAAGATTCCAAGAATTCTAGGAATCGTGACAGATCTAGATCTAGGTCTTTGGAAGAACTTTCAATAGAACCAGAAGTTGGTCAGATTTATACAGGAAAAGTAGCCAATATAGTACCGTTTGGTTGTTTCGTTCAATTGGAAGGTTTGAGACGCAGGTGGGAAGGTTTGGTACATATTTCACAATTACGTAGAGAAGGCAGAGTGGCTAGTGCAAGTGACGTTGTAACCAGGGGTCAAAAAGTTCTTGTTAAAGTATTGAACGTTGGCGGACAAAAAGTTTCATTAAGTATGAAAGACGTTGATCAAGAAACAGGTAGAGATTTAAATCCTGTAGTAGCGGTTAATAAGATCGAAGAGGATGAAAAATATTTGAGAAATCCAGATCGTCCAGCATCATTATTGGAAATTCAAGGTACATGGGACGAAGATGAGACATATTCTAGAAAGCGTGTGCAAAGATTGTCTTCTCCTGAGAAATGGGAAATAAAGCAGATGCATGCTGCGTCGTGTATTGATAGAAGTGAATTACCTGAATTTGATATGGAGACTGGGGTCTTACCTAGAGAAGATGACGAAGAGGAAGATGTTGAAATTGAATTAGTGGAAGAAGAACCTCCATTTTTACATGGCCATGGAAGAGCACTTGGAGATTTAAGCCCTGTACGTATTGTCAAAAATCCTGATGGTTCTTTAGCTCAAGCCGCAATGATGCAAAGCGCATTGGCAAAAGAAAGGAGAGAGCAGAAAATGTTACAGCGAGAACAAGAGATGGATTCTGTACCTACTGGCATTAACAAAAATTGGATTGATCCCTTACCAGATGCCGAGAGTAGAACACTTGTAGCCAATATGCGTGGAATAGGTATGCAAACGCAAGATCTGCCAGAATGGAAAAAGCATGTAATAGGAGGAAAAAAATCTTCATTTGGAAAGAAAACCAATTTGACGTTACTAGAACAACGTCAAACCTTACCAATATACAAACTTAGAGATGATTTAGTAAAGGCTGTGACCGATAATCAAATTTTAATTGTCATTGGTGAAACTGGTTCTGGAAAAACAACTCAGATAACTCAATATTTAGCAGAAACTGGATTCACCGCTCGTGGTAAAATTGGGTGTACACAACCGAGAAGAATATCAGCCATGTCTGTTGCTAAAAGAGTAGCGGAAGAATTTGGATGTCGTTTAGGACAAGAAGTTGGTTATACCATTCGATTTGAAGATTGTACTGGTCCAGAAACAAGTATAAAATACATGACAGATGGTATGTTACTCAGAGAATGTCTTATGGATCTAGATTTAAAAACCTACTCTGTAATAATGTTGGACGAGGCTCACGAAAGAACTATTCATACTGATGTTTTATTTGGGCTTCTTAAACAAGCAGTCGGCAAAAGACCTGATTTGAAATTAATTGTAACCAGTGCTACCCTTGATGCTGTCAAGTTCTCTCAATATTTCTTTGAAGCACCAATTTTTACTATTCCTGGAAGAACATTTGAAGTAGAAGTAATGTATACAAAAGAACCAGAGACAGATTATTTGGATGCTGCACTTATAACTGTAATGCAGATACATTTACGGGAACCTCCTGGAGATATTCTTCTATTTCTGACTGGTCAAGAAGAAATCGATACAGCATGTGAGATTTTATATGAACGTATGAAATCATTGGGTCCTGATGTTCCTGAATTAATTATTTTGCCAGTTTATTCTGCATTACCTTCTGAAATGCAAACTAGAATTTTTGAACCAGCCCCGCCTGGTTCACGAAAAGTTGTTATAGCTACGAACATTGCAGAAACAAGTTTAACTATCGATGGTATTTATTATGTGGTCGATCCAGGCTTTGTAAAACAAAAGGTTTACAATTCTAAAACTGGTATGGACAGTCTTATAGTAACTCCTATAAGTCAAGCCGCAGCCAAACAAAGAACAGGAAGAGCGGGCAGATTAGGACCTGGAAAATGTTACAGACTTTATACTGAGAGAGCGTATAGAGATGAAATGTTACCAACACCTGTACCAGAAATTCAAAGAACGAATTTAGCTACCACAGTACTACAATTAAAAACAATGGGAATCAATGATTTATTACATTTTGATTTTATGGACGCACCGCCGGTAGAATCGCTTATTATGGCCTTAGAATCTTTACATAGTTTAAGCGCTTTAGATAATGAAGGTCTCTTAACACGTCTTGGAAGACGCATGGCTGAATTTCCTTTAGAACCTAATTTATCCAAAATGTTAATCATGAGCGTACACCTTCAATGTTCAGATGAAATATTAACTATAGTTAGTATGTTGTCCGTACAAAATGTTTTCTATAGGCCGAAGGACAAGCAAGCTTTAGCGGATCAGAAAAAGGCTAAGTTCAATCAAGCTGAAGGCGATCATTTAACATTGTTGGCAGTTTATAATTCTTGGAGAAATAACAAATTTAGTAATGCGTGGTGTTATGAAAATTTTGTTCAAATGAGAACATTGAAGAGAGCGCAAGATGTACGCAAACAATTGTTAGGTATAATGGATAGGCATAAACTGGATGTAGTATCGGCAGGAAAAAATACTGTTAGAATACAAAAAGCAGTGTGCTCTGGGTTCTTCAGGAATGCTGCCAAGAAGGACCCTCAAGAAGGCTACAGAACTTTGGTAGATAGTCAAGTAGTATACATTCATCCAAGTAGTGCATTATTTAATAGGCAACCTGAATGGGTTATTTATCACGAATTAGTACAAACTACAAAGGAATATATGAGAGAAGTAACTACTATTGATCCTAAATGGTTAGTAGAATTTGCTCCAGCATTTTTCAAATTTAGCGATCCAACTAAACTCAGTAAATTCAAAAAGAATCAAAGACTTGAACCATTGTATAATAAATACGAGGAACCTAATGCTTGGCGAATATCTAGAGTTCGTAGAAGGCGTAATTAAATTTAATTATTTATAAGTATATATAGATCAACAGTCTCGTCTCATTCAAAAAATTAGTTTCGATTGGATCACTAAAGTTAAATAATGATGGGCATAGTTAGTTTTTGAATAGGTGGACTGCTTTGAAACGCTGCTGTTGACTATAGAGAGAAAGAGAGAAGCATCTAGGGTGTGGAAAAATGTTATGGTTTCTCCAATCCGTTAAAGGGAGATTAATAACGACAATATATGTATATATATTGTTGATATAAACATTTTTTTGAATAAATGATTTGTAAATAAATACTTTTATACAGCATATAAAGAAATGATTACTATTAGAATGTTCAGATATATGATGAGTTTGTAATATATATTTCTGAACACATTTGTATATATATATAAACTGTAATTTTACAATGTAGAAGACAAATGTATATATTTCGAATACACTCATATATGTGTTTAATTGTCAGATAATGTGTAATAATTATATATATATATATATATATATATAAATTTGAGAAACAGTCAAATGGTATGTAGTTCATTTTCATAATTATTTTCTTTGAAAGTTTATATTTTTTTTTTAAAACGATATGTTTGATAAATATTTTATAAATAATAATTTTAAATATATCAATCGAATTTCGTATTAATATGTTAAAAATTTTGTAGTCAGGGCAGTAAATCACTTTATATTTTGTATATCATAATAATTTTAATTAATTAGATCACACGTATAATGAATTTATTTTATATATGTACATATGTACATTTTATAAGACAGTAATAATTCTTTTTTTTTTTTTTTATTTTTAAAACACAGAAAGAGTTAGAATACCCAAGTAAAGTCTAAAATATAGGAATATATATATATATATATCTTAACTGTGTGTATATATATCTCTTCAGTCTCTTTCTCTTAACGAAGTATTAAATTTATTAAATAAATACATTCTTGGTATCAATGGAACGGTTTAAAGATATCTTGCCAAAAAGGAAGATGATCATTTATATGATTGTAATTAGTGTTACAATTATTTAGATTTAATTTAAGGTGTTCTATATCACTCATGGGCAAACTGTGGATATAATTTGTATCTTGCACAAAAAAGATAAAGAATAACATTTCAGTAATAATTACTTCAATGCTTGTGTTTCATACATTGCATTTTGTTTTATCCACACAACTATTTAATGAAATTAAAAAAAAAAAGAAAAAAATTATTATCATAAATAAATTTCGAAATTATTTCTCCATTTTTTTGTTTACACAACGGTAACAAAGTATTACACAGTTGATAAAAGAATTTTTGTATGTTTATCTGTGTGTTGTGTTTTCTTGTAAAACAAGTCACGAATGTTGCTTTTTTTTAATTAATTCAACTAATTGTCGATATCGCGTTTGGCATTCCTCCTACAAACAATGATATTAGTTATTAGTATTATAAATTAAAGAAATTCGATAAATAAATAGAATTAGAGTCAACCTTTGTTTTTCCTTCAACGCATGCCGCAATTTTTTCCCATCTATCAATGGATGCTCCTTTAGGGTACTTTATAAGTGCAGATTCTAATGCTTTCTGTTGTTCTTGACTCCAATCGATATTAGTATTATCAGAATTTTCATTACGTGTCTTAACTTTTTTCGGTCGATCCGTTCCAGTATCTTCTATACATTCGCCAGGTTTCAATCCTTCATCTTTGATCTGAATAAGTAAATAACAAAATTAATTAAATTTGTTAATATATTTTTTGTTTCTTTAAATGAATCGTTTGAATAATATGATATACTTTTTTAGCCATGTGCGTAACTTCTCCAACCGTACGATTCATAGTATCCGCAATTTTTTCCCATCTCTCCGGTGTACCACCAGGATATTTCTTAACGAGCTTTATTAATTCCATAACGTCGTCGTCCGTCCATAATCCACCGGTTATTGTAGGTTTATCGTAACTATTATTTGTATCGTTAGTTTCTTTTTTTGGTACAACTTTTGAATTGCTATCATTTCTTTCTTGAAGTGGAAATCCTGTTTTTCGTCTTCTAGGACCGCGCGGTGTAATATCCGGTTCTGCTTGTTCATTTTCTTGTGCTCTATGATATAAAGAAAATAAAACAATAACAGTTGTATATTTGATATATATTTTTGTAGATACTCACAATGCTTCTTCTTCTTCTTCCTTTTTCCTGCGTTTCCTTTCTTCTATACTTTCATTTATAGCACGAATAATAGATGGTACAGATACAACAGATGCAACTGTCCATCTAGGCATTTGAAATGGAAGAGTATTCCAAATACTCGGCGTTGGTATTTTTTCCAAAATATCTGCTAAATCTGGAACATCCATTTTACCTTTTCTATTTTTTTTCTGCAACTTTTGGAGCTTACTACCGAGTACTTGTTCCTGAAATAAATACATTTGTTTTTCTTAGATGAGATAGAACATAATTTGATATATCTTTGAATTCATTGTATTAACTTATAGAATTAATTTAAAAAAAACCCCCCCAAAAAAATGATAAAAGTAGATTTATTTAAAGGTAGGACAATATACAGAGTGTATAAAGTTTTTTTGGTCAAATGTTGTCAGCACAAACCATGGATACTATATAATAATTAATCTTTTATATTTCAAGAATACATACTTACATAAGTATACCTCTTTTCAAAATATGCAGCCCATGCTAATAAATATTGTCCAATCGTAATCAGTAGAAATAATATAACACTCATTTCCATCAATCCCATTTTTCTTACATGTCGATAATAATATACAGCTGACCGCCAATTAGGCAAGCCATTAACAAGAACATTATCATATTTCTGTCGCTTTCCAGGATCCCTTAAGACATCGTATACAGCAACCAACTATATAGAAGTTTAATGAATTGTATAATATTGAAGATATTCTTTTGGTTAGATATTTTAAAGTAGACTTACTTTTCTAAATTGTTCTTCCGCATTGTCGGCAGCATTTTTATCCGGATGAAGTTGAAGGGATAATCGTCTAAATGCTTTTTTAATCTCGGAGGCATTTGCCACCTAATTGAAATAATAAATTCATACAGTTGTGTTGTATATGTGGTAACAAATGCAATAGGAAATATTGTTTAATTTATAATATGTGTAAAGGAAATATGTTTTACCTGAGATACACCCATGAGTTCATAGAAATTTTGATTAACTTCTTCGACGACATCGAATACTTCCAATTCATCATTGTCCCACGCAGCAGATAATGTAAAAAAATCCAAAAATTGTACAACACCAAGAAATATTATAACTACTCTCATGTTCAATATTTAAATAGACGCATAGTTGCTATCGTCACCCATATAGTTGGCAATGAATACCAACAAGAATTAGAATAGTCTGTAAAATTTGAATAGGTACAGTTAATATGATCAATATTTAATAATAAATATTAAAGTATATATCAATGTGCTTAAAGAAAGGAATAATAGATACATATTATATTAAGGATAAAAACGTACTTAGTAAATAGAAATAGGCAGTTATTATGTTATAATTTTAATAGATTTTTTTTATGAAATATTTTCGTGAATCAACGGAGAACAATCGTGCAGTGCCACGTTCTCTCTTTCAACACTTACTACTTTTTAGAGAATAATCAACCATGTGCCATAATTAGATAGATAACTAAGAGATGCATGTAGAATAACGATATTTAGGCGGTTCGTATCAAAGTGTCGCCATACTTCTGCATTCTAATTTATCTCAACTATTTAATCATTTTTTTATAATCAGTCGGTTATCTTGAAAAAAGTATTACCGACGTAGAGTAAAATAAATTAGAAATCTTCTATTACCGACGGTCGGTGTTGTAAAAGCAGCAATCTGCAATTACCGACTGTCGATATTTTAAAAGTAGAAACTACCGTTACCGACGTTTGATAAGATAAAGGTAAAACTCTACTATTATCGATATGATGCTAAGCAATGTTACTAGAATTTCAATAAATTTTAAATTTGCTTATCTCTTAGTAACTTTTAATAGCAAATTGTGTACACAAAGTTAATGTGTAATTAAATTCTATATACATTTAAAAACAATCATATAGATATTTTGTTTGAATTATTAATTAAAGGAATTTACTAGTTAAGATCGATTGTCTTGGAATAAGTACAGAGAAAAAGATTTACTAGATTAAAAAAAAAATATTGGAGCTAGAAAGACCGGTGAAAAACGGACAAACAAAAAGTCAGCAATTGATTGAAAACAAAAAACAATAGAAAACATTTGAAAATCGTAAATTAGGTGGACAATTTCATTGAGGATATTTAGTATAAATAAAAAAAATATGCATACTTTAAAAATATAAGATTATAAATAATTTGTCAAATTTAGAAAAAAAATAAAAAAAATATGACAAAAAGACAAGTGCATTTGCTGTTAATCGTGCTGTTAATTTGGACGTTTCACGAGGCATCTAAAGTAATGGACAATATAAAAAAATAATATCTATAGTTTGGAAGGGGTTAAAGTTAGTACACCATCGGTATTACATATAAGTAAGAATAATTTATTGGAAAATAAAATAATTAAAACTAATAAATATATAATGATGTGTTTGTGCAATAGATGTTGTATAAGTTCGATCATTTAAACGAAATAAAATCGAGAATGGTAGATGACGATTTGAAAATAAAGAAAATAAACAGGATGATGTGTACGATAATGGAGAGGATAGAAGAATCAGAAGGATTCCTTTCGAAATTTAAATCCAAATTGATCGCATTTGTGTCGGAGAATCTTTGCGAGCTGAGGTGGGCCGCAATAAAATACAGTAATTTTGCCTTTTTTTCGATCTCGCAGTTGTTTGAATACTTTATCCCAATTTGGACGGCCAGCATTTGTTCTTGTTTTTAATCCCGTTATCAGATCACGTTTTTCCTGATTAATTAATAAGAATAAATAATGAAATCGTTTATCGCGATTATAGAATTATATTTCAGAAAAAAAAAGAATATGAACCTTTTCGTGAAGCAAATCCATGGCCAATTGTAAACCTACAGCCTTCATATCGTGTTTTTGTAAAGCACTTGTAATATACATGTACATTTCGAGAAAAGGTTCCATAGCATTCCCTAATTCAGCTTGTTCCATTTCGAGTTGGGAAAGCAAGTTGACGAACCATTCGAAAGAATGTTGATCTCGATTGATCCAAAAGAAATCGACCTGAATGCAAACAAAATTCAAATCAATTTTTAATCATTTTTCGTTTGTGTAGGAATGAATTATTTTTTTACAAATAATTTCTTTTTCGTTTATAATTTAATTCCATAATTCACCTTTCGTAGATGCATGATGGTAGGCGGTATTTCATTGGCCCAAGAAAATTGACATTTAGGACAAGTTTGTCTGGCCTCCCAATATCGATGCATAATTGATCGAAGAATAGAAGCAAATGGTGTTACTCCGATACCGGTTGCAATTAATACCGCGTGTTGTGCTTGGAATATATGACTTGATGGTGCACCGTATGGGCCATCTAAAAATATCTGAATCAACAAAAGATTATCGTATTTTATTTAATAAATAACATTATAAATTTATTTGTTTTTGATTAAATAAATCTCGAATAAATCAATTCACCTCTAATGGTTTTCCAATTGGATAATCGATAGTTGTGTTAGAAGCCGTTTCGATTTTAATCTCAATTGATTTAGTTTTCTGATCAATTTTTCTCATTTCTTCATAAATGTTGTTCAATCTTCCTTCCTCCGCGGCTTCTTCTCTGATCGAACAAGTTGGCGAAGTACAATTTTTATTTTCTGTGATCATCATTTGACCTAAAAATGAAAACAAAAAGTAGGACAGTTGTTTATTTGCAGTAATTATTTCTATAGAAAAAGAAAATTGATTTGGTAATTCGTATTATTCAATTTTACTATTGTTCAAGTTCGTTCCTTCATCGTATTCGAAATTTTCAAGACTTGGGGTTTCGAATGCAATAATCGTAGGCTTTGTTCTCATGTATCGAACACTTTCAGCCAATGATTTGTTTTGCGGGCTTAAATAAGCTCTTCCCAATAATTTCGTGCACGCACGGCGTATCTGACACTCGTCGAAACTTTTTTCGGATTCTGATCTCCCATAATCGCGAAGTCTAAACATAAAAAACATAACAAAATTGAATTAAATTAAAACATTTCTCTCAAATTTGAAATTTGAATACTAACGCGATCGAACGTTGCTTGTTTTTATATCTCGTTTGCATGTCAGGCACAGAAAATGATTTTTCCAATGGTAGTTTACTCGCCAATAAAAATTGACGTAATTTCGGTTCTTCCGTCATTTTAATCATTTTCGGTGTACCTTCAATAAAAATAAACAAAAATGAATAATAATTATGGTTGAACACGTAAACTAATATGAAATCGAGCCTGATATTATTGTCTTACATTCCGGTGTTTTAAGAAATGTTCCAGTATCGTTGATAGTCGAATTTGACGAGGATGAAGCTTTGACGTCAGCAACAAAAACAAGATTGTCTATACCGCGTGAATCGGATAACGAGCACGAATCATCTTTATTTTTTTTGCCTATATTAACGCTAAGAAATCTGCAAAAAAATATATATATATATATATCAATTATAATTTAATTTTTTATTACTCCTGAATATAGGCAACACTTTATACACGTGTTATTAGCCCCCTTA